CCCTATTATCCTGAGGACTGCATACCACGAAAAATGCTGTCATCAACACACAGGAATGATTTCAGGCAAAACAGCAACTGTGCAAATGAGACAGAGGTCAGCTGCTTCATTGAACAAATGAACTCACAGAGTGCCTGTGAGAAGGATGCCTATCAGGAAGGGGCAAGTGAAGGACACAGTGGGCATCCCAGGAGGGGGAAAAGGGCAATTAGGGAACAGTTAAGAACCCGCCCCACTTTGCGGATGAGGTTCAAAAGACTCCTGCTGCTGCAGAGAAGACTTAGTGGAACTTCTCCCACTGCTGGTGAGGAGGGCAGTGGAACAGCTCTGCAGAAATTGCAGATGGAGGCTGAGGTGAAAGAGCACTGGGCTCATGAAGCTTGTGCTGTCTGGACCACAGGCATAATCCTGGTAGGAGGCAAACTCTTTGGGCTGAAGGAGGCTGTTCAGAAAGCTGCACATGCAGTAAGTGTTTCATTTATATTAAAAACACTTAATAACTTCCTGTACTGATAACTTCCTGTACAGAGCAGATTTCAAAACGTGTTTTGATGTTTGGAATAGCATACTCAGAAATAGCAATATACACCACACTGTATCCCACAATGCAATGTGTTTGACTCAAATGAAAGCAAGCCAACTGTAATATCATGTGTGAGCTCTTTCTAAACAAGGACAAAACACATGTTACACCTAATTAGATTAAAAATCTAAATAACTATTTCTGAGATGAGGTTGAGATCATTATTATTGATTTCTATATTTAAAAAAGAACCCAATAATAATAATAATGATATACATTAAGTCTAATGGGTCTGGAATTACATTAGTTATCCTGTATTATTTGCAACTGGTGGTGGCTCAGGGGGCTGTCAGGAAAAGAGTCGATATTTTAGAGAGAAGCTCCTCAGGCTTTCTATCTCATCACAGAAATGCTCCAGGTGCCAAGGTGAAGGAGCTTCCATCTGCTGCAGCTGGAAGAGCTGTACTCAGAGGTACCATTATGTCTGCGCCAAAGAGATGGGTAAGAGTTCTGGCACTTAGAAGTGTGCTGTGTGTTTGTGTACAATATTTACTGTCCATCTAATGACTCCGTCCATGAAGCTCTGTTTAGGAACTAAGCAGGGTATGCAAGCATATATAATTACTAGATTCCTCCTAGACTCACAAACCATACTTGCAACCATTAACTTACTGAAAGACCTGAGCAGAAGGTTCTGACTAACAGGTAAAAAACACTTTTATGGCTTTTATGTGATGTTTAGCTATAGGTAAATTTGGTTCTACCAGAATAATTTTCTATGAGTTGCTTCACTTAATTAACCTTATTGACATACATGACAATATCTAGTTTACCTACTATAATTCATGTGACTTGCTGTTCCTTGGAAGCTCTTACTGTAGCTTCCTGGGAACTGGTTTGACTGATAAAAACCCGTGTACTCCAAATCCCAGAAGTTGCATAGAAATGGAACTGGCAGATATCGTCAGTTCTGGACAATATGCACCAGATGGTTCATGAATGCTCCATGGCGTGTCATCCAAGGCTGAGACTAGTTTCCCTCCATCATGCATTGCTCTCCGCCATCAGAAATTGCCATCATAGAAAGTGGTGGTTACATCACTGGATATGGATTACGTCAGAAATGAGGACGAACTGGCTTTGCTTTGCATTTCCAATGGTATTTTCTAATTTCTGCCTTTCTTTTCTCTGTATCTTTTTCCAGGCTGCACATTTCAAGAAGAGACCTTCTCTATTAGGTGTCCGAAACACAAGGTAAGCAGGTGAATTGGTTTCACACACAGCAAAGGATATCTCTGATCTAAAAGACACCCCCATTATACCATGAACTTCAGTGTCCTTGTAACATTCTACCACCTCCCTAACAACAGCGAGGAGTGAAACTAGACAGCAGAGCACAGTTCCTCATCAGCACCATCTCTCAGGGCAACAGATGAGCCCTGGGCATATCTCACCCTTATCTGTCTGCTATTGACTGGGCAGCTCTCCACTGACAGGAGAAGTTAGTGAAGGGACGTTAATTAGACATTCTAGGCTCTCCCTCAGTCTCCTTGCTCCCCTTTAGGAGCCACAAACTTTAAAGAGCAGAAAAAAGAAGACATTTAGAAGTGCTGCCTGATGATGATTATTACTCGATGGGGAATGGCCAAATTTTTCACTCAAGGTCTTGGATCTTGCCTGAAGCGGAAAGCCATCCAAAAATTTAATTGCTCAAATCCAAGCTCATACTGATTTTTCAAATTCCTAAACCCTAAATATTCTGCATTATTTACTCACCCTTCATGTCATTTCAAACTCCCAACAGGAACATCTTTGAAGAATCTTTGCACAGATCTTTTCCACACAACGACTGCTCACCCCAACTGTCAAGTACCAAAAAGGACAAAAGACCATAAAGAAGTCCATATGATTTGTGCATTGTATTCAGAGTCATGACAACACAACTGGGAACCAATAACGTCAATCCAGGCTTGACAGTCTGTCAAGGTGCCATTTTGGTGACATTGTAGATGAGATTTTATTATATTGTGTGCTTT